AACCTCATTCTCCTGGGGTTTTTACCCAGTAGACTTCAAGGTAAATTACAAAATCAAAAGAGGCTCCTATCCATTAAGCTCCGTCTTTCTGCCCTCATAAATCCAGCAAGCATTTCTTGCTCCACCGAGACAGAGCTTTGAGAAGAGTGAGGAGCTTGGTGGGGTTAACATCACAATTGGATGAGCTTGGGTTCTTCTCTAGGTGGACCGTGTCAGGGAGGGTATCTCACTGAGCCCAGACATCTCATTTCCCGACTCAATGTGTTAGGGTGAGTAAGATCCACCAAGAAAAAGATGACCAGTTTTCCACTGGATCAAGAGTCCGATTTGATGTGAAGCAACCCACAGCCATGTGTTTGTTAAATGCAACCTGAGGAAGGGAGCAGGAGCACAGCTGGAGGCAGTGCAGTGGACCAGGACCTGTGACAGGCTGCAGTGTGATCGTATTGAGTAAAACATAAAACCACAGCCCAAATGCATGTGCAGCATCTGGGAAATGCAAAAATTTGAACAACTATGGTACTTGGCAGTGAAGATCGCCCTGAAGATCATCCAGAGGATGACAAGTGTTTCTAGAAGTCTTGCTATGGAGTGGACAGACTCAGATCTTTCCAGGGTTGGACGTGAGACAAAATGGATATGAACAGGGTGGTGAAGGCTGGCAGATGAGTGTTTGCTGTTTGTTTGTTTTCCTGGGAACGAGGAGAGGCCAGTTGACAGCTGAACAGCTCCTCTGCGTGGCAGCTGTCTGGCCAGCAGGGATGTGCCGTGGGGGATGTCAAAGTGAAACGCTTAGCTGCATATGGATAAAACTCCCTAGGCACCACCTAAAGACAGGACCCATCTGATAGCAAAGCTTTTGAACTGTCAATGGGTTCACGCTGTATAGGCGAGAGAGGACAATGGTGACCATCCATTTGTTTATACAGTATGTATTTATCGATGGCATAATAAAATTATCCTTATTTTATGCTTTATTTTTCAGAAAACAAACTCTCCCCTTTTCCCCCTTATGCCAAAATATAGTCTGGCAGCCCTTCCTTCACCCTCCCTAATAGATCTGTCATTAAAAACATCCAGCATTGCTGCGATATTGCTGTGATTTTTTTTGCAGGCAAGCCTACCAGGAGAGGATGGCAGAGAAACCAGCAACTCCGAAATAAAAAACCTGACACAAAAACCTGCCTCAGTAGCAGTCTCCAAATTGCTGTCTGGGGAGATTATAAATAAAGCAATTAAATAAAGTAGTCTTCATGCCAGCTGAGACTTCCAGTAAGCAGAGCTGATAATGGGTGAACTTAAATACATGCTAAAGACATATAATCCCATTGGTGAGGTGTGACACAGTACCAGGATGCAGTTACTATTTTACACGTTTATTTATATATTAACATTTAATATATAAATTATTAATATATATAAAACTTATATTAAAATGTGGAGTTAGCCTGCATTCATATCGATGCTTTTTTTTTTTTTTTTTTTAATGCTGGCCTTGTCCCCAGAGAAATCATAAAAATATTGGTGAGCACTCCTATATCTTTACCTAAAGCCTTCCTTAAATTCTTTGGTTTTAAAAGCTAAAAATCCTGCATGCTAACAATGATTAGTCAAGTAATAAGCTGTCATATTCCAGTTTTCCTTGGCTTTTTTTTTTATTCCTTGGGTCTTGCTTCTCACCTGTTTCCTATTTTATCTAAGAGAAATGACACAAACAGCATCTAATTAAAAAACTCTGTCATTGTGTTAATTGGCTTTTAAAATAAATTGTGGCCCTGCCACTTCCTCTGGGGTTTTGAGAGGCTCAGTCCTTGCAGTAGGATGGTTCCTTCCTTTCTAGGGATCCTCATCTGGGAGCTCCCTGGTCCTGGGGTTGTCACAGAGGTCACAAAACCCATATATGCAGGTAAAATAGATAATGCAGTAACTCATGGTGAAGGGATTTTAAAACTGAGTCTCTCCACAGCACTGCCAGCTTTGTATTCAAAAAGCAGCAGTATGCTGTTCACGACTAAAAGACTGAATTTAAATGAGGTCTGATCACCAGGTGTACAAGCAACTTTGGGTGCTATGCTTTCACTGACTGGTATAAAATTGAGGATCTCTGTTCCCAAATCAATTCTAAAATAGAAATTTGCTGCTTTTTTTTTTTTTTTTGAAAGTGAGCCCTGAACACTACATACTCCCCTCATTCACTGCAGGTCAAGGTATGGACTTCTCCTCCTCCTACCTGTAGGTACTTGCTCATCCCAGCATTCAGGATGGGAATGAGAGCCAAAACCAGCCATGCTTGACCATACAGTCCACTTCATGGCATCAGCTTGGGAAGTCAAGCACGACAAAAAGTTGTAGCCCCTTTTTTACCTTCTGTTGTGCCTACAGACTGCAATGCAATAAGCTCAGGAGGAAGGCTTAATCATAAAGCCACCAGAAAAAAAAACCCCACTGTATGTTTGCATCACTATTTTCAGCAATAACAGAAGAAATGAAAAGCCAAACTGAGGTGTAGCTCCCTATAGATCCCTTCTTTATATTTCACGGACTTGTCCTGTTGAGTTTTGTGTTTAGTTATCTCATTTACTGGGTCAAATAATATGTTATCCCTTTTGCCACTGCTGCTTCTGCAGAGCTGAGGCAGCTCAGAGCAGCATGGTGGCAGCTGATCCTGGCACCTATTTTAACTAATCTTCATAGCTGTAACTTATGTTTGATCAGAAACCACTGAGACAGTAAAAAAAGAATCCCTTTGGTGTTATGTGTTTTGTGGGTTTTATTGTGGTTTATAGTACAAGTGGTGCTTTCAAAATCTTTGAGTAAATACTCTTAGTGATGGCACACACCTGTATTTTATGGTGAGTTGTTGGTTAGCGATAACAACAGGATTACCACTGGCTTTTTATTAACTTGCTGGCTCACAAAAGCCCAATTAATATATGTCCTGAAGACGGGAAAATTACAAAGCTTAACCTGTGAGTACTGGAACTGGAAGAAAGTCACCATCTCTAGCCTCAACCACCAAGGTGGGCACCTCCATCCTGCAAACGAATGCATCTAACCACCCCCTCCGTGGGAAGAGAAGGGTCTTCCCACAGCAGATAGGCGCTGGTGGGAACAGGTTATAATTATAATTTGCTATTGCAGCATCCTCAGGGTGTGCAAGCAGCCTGCGCGCTCTGGCTTTAAACCTGGCTCTGTGGTCACAGGTAACCTTGCCCTGCTCCTGTGCCCCCCATCACCTCAAGCCCTTCAGCTGCCCACGACTCCCCTACCCCAACCACAGGGCTCCTGTCACCCACCACCCTGCTTTGTCCCTCGGCCTTGTCACCCTCACCACACCTGGGTGCCGCCCCCCGTTGTCTCTCGCCCGTTGCCTCGCGATGCCGCCATGTTAGGACCCGCCTGCGGCCTGCTGAGGTGAGGCAGAAGGGAAGGGGCCTCCCCTCACAAACCCACCCCAAGCCTGGGGAGGGGTGGCAGGTCTGCCATTTCTTGCTATTTTAAGTGAGTTAGATTAGCCCAAGGCCTGATGTGATGGAGGGGCACAAGACATGGCTGGGAGGAGGGCATGGGAGAAGGGGGTAAGACCCCTTTTGCACAGCAGTGGGCTGCTAGCTTGGGGCTGATGCCCATAAAATGGCAGCCTGAGCAATGTGAATTGCCTCAAGCATGTCTGGAAGTAGTGTTCCTGGAGCAATGGTATAGATGAGAGGGTTTTGGTGGTAGCGGCTCTCTTCTCCTGTCCCCCAAAATTGGAAATGAGCTTTAGAAATATCAAGATTTTAGTATCCTGTCGTTTTTCTTTTTAAAATTTTCATCTTTCTTGCTTGAACTTTTTTTTTTAATTGTTGTTTTCAAATATTTAATTTGTTTTGAAATTGCTGAGTAGTATCGGTGTAAGAAGTTGGTGAGAGTATCTATGAAAAAGTCTTGGCTAAGCATACTTTGAGGGCAACGTAACTGTGGTTCTCTATCATTAGTTTTCATTATGAGTTCTCTAGAAGGTACAAGCTCTCTTTAGAAGCTACTAAATTCAATTCTTGCATTCATTAAGAGTGGGGTTTTTTTCCCCCCATGCTTTTCCAAATTTCCTTTTGACTCCCTTTTCTGTAGTCACTTGTATGAGAAATAGCCTAAAAACATTGTAGACATCAGGTATCATTTTCCACCACGTTTTTTTTCTGCTCTAAGAATTGTGTTGTCCATTGTCAGTACAAACACTGTCTCCTTGGCTTTGGAAGCTAGCTGATGTGGGAAAGGCAGGCAGACGTTCTCTGTTTTCAGGCTTGAATTGACTTTTCTGTCCATTTTAGTAGGTCACAGACTAATCCATATCTCAGTGTGATACAATAACATGAAAAAGTTGGCTACAGGCCTTGACTGTGTGTTGTTGCCCTGCTTTAGGTGAATTTTCTCTCTGCTTAGCTGACAGCCACCTATGTGCTTACCAAGCATCCTTTCACTGTCAACAATTGTTTTCTTTCGTGTCTTGTCAAGAGGTTTGTGACTGACATAGTAATAAATATCTGCACATTAAAGTACTACCTAACTGTATAGAATGGTGTGTCCATAGGCAATGGGTTGTGAAGGAGGTTATGTGGCATTTATTTGCATTTCATTACTTTTATTTGAATACTTAAGGAAGGCATTTGTCATATTTCATTTTCTCTTCTGTGGAACAAACTCAGTATATGTGTATACCAGGTTGTTCCAAGGTTTAACCATAAGTATTACATTACGTAAAACCTTGCAATTTGCTGACTTGATGTGACCCATGACTATAAACACGTATTAACTAAGGAATGTGCATGCACAAGTGAATGGGAAGGTAATGGTCTAGGTCATTTGCCCCATGCTTTATTTTTTGTCAAACTACCATGTAAAATAAAATGCAAAGCCCAATGGAGTTTTAAAATAAAACATCACATTGTTTCAGAGTTTACAGGTTCATTCTTGCCTCTTGATATATTTTCCTCTTCTGTTTGAAGGAATCAGACAGCATTATGGAATCTGCAGAAGAAGAGTTAGTTAATTTTAATGTCAGTGGCTGGTATTTCTCAATTCCCAAAATTAAAGTTGCTCAGTTTCCTGAATCTCTGGTATGGAAAGAAGCTTCTGTACAAGATCAATCTGAAAATCTAAGATTACTTATTGACCAAGATGGTTTTGTATTTAGGCACCTTCATTATTACATGCAGACTTCAAAGTTATCTTTTTTCAGCTATGCTGAATTGAACTTATTGTGTGAGCAAGCATTAATTTTGCAGCTGACACCTTTATTACAGCTAAAGTAGGATATTCTATGTGGCTTTTCTAGAATTTCTTTTTATTCTTAGATAATTTGGTCTGTAGAAGGATGTCAAAGAGTTTGTGTATATAACTTCATCAATGCCTGCAATAGGTGTCCAAACAAATAATTGCCACATTCAATTCATCTGCCTCCGTTGGTGAGTACAGAAAATGTTACAAATTTGATGCTTGACCTTTCTGTAAGACCTCATTTGATAGTCATTACTTGCTTTTTAAACTAAAGTTAAAGCAAACACAGGCTTTTATCTGCCAACTGTTGTCCTTGATGACAATTATACCAACCAATCTTGTTGAATATGAACCTTCTAATCTGAAGAAGGTGGGACTGCCCCTTCTGTTGTTCCCTGGGAAAGTTCAGTCTGCCTGAAAACAAATTCATCCTACTGTGACACTACTGAATTCACTAACCTGTGAAATGGGGGAATGATGATTCTTCCTCTCCTATACTGTAGCAGTATAAACAGAAATGTTAAACGGATATCTGTAACGAATATTTAATTTGCTATTTAGCTACAAGTATTTTTTTTATTGTAATTACAGTGTTGTGCCACTGAAGGTTGAGTCCATGCTTCCTGGCTGGATGAAATGTGTATTTTCATACATTAATATTTGCATTTCCTCTAAGTTTAGATTAAACTCTGAGATTCTTTTGTTTTCTAAAACTTTTTTTTTTGTGGAATTGTCTCAAAAATGCTATGATGCTTGATCTTTTTAACCCAAAATATTAACATTTTGGGTTTAACATGAACATTTTTGGATTTTCTTTTAGCACTGTGTTTAAAGATGTAACATCTCCAAATAGGTTGGGAGAGGAAGACCACCAAACCTCAGTAGTCTATTGTATTAACAATCCTTACATGATCACATATTTAACATGGACCTGTTGTGGTATGGCCAGGAACACATTCCACCAAACTAGAATTCTTGTATTTTCTGGTTTTTAAGTGCTTGTCAGTGTAACCTTATTAATTCACGTGGTTGTGTTTTTTTTTTACGCATGTGCTTTAGAAGTCATAACCGTGGCCCTAAAGTTACTTTATACATAATATCCTACAACAGTACATAACCATTTGTTCCAATTTTAAAGTAATTTTTTTATAATTCAGTAAAAGATTAGGAAATACAGACTGTTAATTATTCCTATCACTGAGCCAAACATCTATTCCCCTTTCTAATAATTTAATTTCTACAGCTTATCATAAAGATGTTTGTTATTAAAAAAAGCCCAAAAGGTCTTTCAAGCTTTGTGTTGGGTTCTTGGCTATATCTATTGTTGTATACTTTTATGCATGCCAGTGTGCTGTCTTGAATTCCAGAGCTAGAATACAAGAATGTGCCATTAAAACTCAAATGTTAAAAAATAGTTGGCTTTTTTTGAATATATGAATGACTCTAATTATATTACTAGTTCTTATAAATGTTCTCCACATGTTCACTCCAGTTACCTTGAGGTACCTAAAACTTAGGAATCTAATACATGTTTGTTCTTGCCTGTACACAATATTCCCTGGTGTATTTTGATAGATGTCAAGTACAGCATAGAATGCATTAGACTCTTTCCCATGGCTGCTTTTAATTTTTGGATTAGCTATTTGAATTGAAGTAATAAATAGAAAAACTTTACATATCTTAACAGATTTTAGATAATTTGAAGGAGGAGAAATATAACTTACATGTGCAGCCTGCAGATATACCAGTAGCTGAAAGAACATCTCTGAATTACTGGAGAACACAAAAGTGTACTAGCAAGCCACCAGAGATTCCTCCTAACAGTCCAGCATTCACAGGTAAGTGTCCCAAATTGACAAATCATTTTGCATCCTTTTGCATTAGGAGTGCCCATAGACTGTTGTCAGTTGTTGCAAGCCAGGAATATTTTAGTCTTGCAAAGTTTATTTTGTGTGATTTTTATTTGTTTTTCATTAGTCATCTTTATTTTAAAAATAGGAAACCCCATGCAAACGTTTGTTCATTTGTGCTGGGCTGTAAGACTTCATCCTTTGGTGAACATTAAAAATTGCACAAGATCAATGCACTTTTATTGGTTTTGTTGTACTGGTCAGATCTCCAAAGTGCATATCTGAGTTCCATTTTTCTTTATGTCTTGATTTTTCTCTGATTTTCTTTTCCTAGGGTTACATGAAAGAGCTCCCCTAGGGCTAGTGGATACACCTTTACTAGGTACAGAAGATGAAGTGAATTACTGGTTTTTGCCACTAGATTTGGTGGCAAAATATCCTGTACTAGTTAATGACAACAATTTGCTGTGGCTGCTTGAGAATGCAGCCCTGACTGAGTGCAAGTGCAGTGAGTTCCGCTTCATAGGTAACTGCTTTTTTTTTAATTATTCTGACATGTCTAAATCAATTTTTTTTTTATATTAAACTGTTTCTGTCTGCCTTCAATAATACTTCTTTAAAGATCAGAATCTTTTGGTTTGGTTTTGCCATCTGCCACTTTTACTGCCCTATTTATCAGTCAAGAAACAAACGCTCTACAGGGTGGCTTCCAGAGTACATGTACCTAAATTTACCCACTTATGGCCCTGCTTATTTGGGTTTTATTAATGCAGTGGTTTTCTGAACTAAAATATATTAATGGCATCAGGTACCACAACTGCTGTTAACAATCAGTAATTAAAGTAGACAACACTGACATGGTGACTCTAAATATCTACTCAATCTTGCTCCTTTTCACTAGTAAAAAATCATGTTTCATTCATTAAATAATCTTCCAGCTTCAAGAAAAGACAAGTACTTTTCAAAAGTCTGGCAGGGTCACATACATCCCCCATCAACATAGCATTTCATCCTCTATGAACTCAGTTAAGATGAGCTAGATATGGAATTGCTGCAGTTTTGCTCTGCCAGTCCTCTGATGTTAGCATATGGGAAAGCACATGTTTAAATGCACAGTGGGATGGGACTGTGCCTAGGGGGAAAAAAGCAGCCAAACAGACAGGAAACCTCTTAGATGAATCTGTTGGGATGCTGTGATAAACAAAACTAACCTAGTTCTGTGCTTCCCCTATCATTTATGCTGTGTCTGGTCTCCTCTAGCATAAACCTTGGTTTTAGGACTGTGTTTTCAAAGACAAAGTGTTCCCTGCTGTCCATTTATCTGCTGTGTATATGTACGTATGTGAGTAGTAATACTGACGGAAATTACAAGAACCTGTTTTTGCTAGATCTGAGCAGTGGACAGAAGACATCAACACACACTTCCTATGTTTTATTTTTATTTTCAAGTTAATTTTCTTTGCTCAGAGAAGATGTTGTTGCCTTATGACTTCTCCAACATAGATGCCTTGGAGGAAGAAGCTTTAATTCTGGGAATTCCTGAGCTTTATAGATGCTGTGAAGATCTATAGAGGTAATAGAATGTACATAGCTATATATTTTCTTCCTTATATGCATTGGTTTTAATGTTATCTTGTGAAATTGGGTGTTTGAAACAGAAATTATATAAATATTATCAACACTGAGGTGAGTTAGCAACTTGTTTCCATAAAAGTTGAAAATAGTGGAAAATATGGTGGTGATTATTAACCGCTGACCTTCTGGGGTGCAGTCTTGACCTCCTTTCCTTGCAGGCAGCTGCTCCGTGGGGGCTGGGGGTGGCGGGGGGGCAGTGGCATGGGAGTCCCCACCATGATCCCCACTCTACGCCATGGTGCTGGGGCTGCTGGCCAACTACCCGGATTCGGCACTGGGACAGCTCTGCATGGGCAGCGACCTGGGCTGGAGCTGCCTGCACCTCTCTGGTGACGGCATTCTCTTCCAACGTGCCAGGTACCCACCCTGCCTTCATACCAGGCAATATCAACATAACCTTTTGAAAGAACCTTAAGTTATTTAATGGGTTTTGTAGTTGAAAAAGAGTCTGATTTTCAGCAGCTTGTCTTCTAGAATTTGTATTCATTTTCAGCTAAACTTGCAGGTGACTGTAATTATGCGAGTTGGCATTCTTCTATCATATTGTAGGCTTGTAAGCCTGAAATTCCGAAGTAGTATATGTAAACTTGTTAAGTTTTAAGAACATGTGGTTATTAAAGATTTACTATTCATTCAGAAAACTTTGTATTGGATTTTCAAAAGCATCTAAATGCCTATGGGTACAGGCTTTTCTGAAGTCACCCAAAAGTCATACTTCTATGTCTAGTCCACGAAAGAATGTAGACTTCTGAATACTGTGTTTCAACTTGGTCCTTTGAGACAAATTCCACATATTGTTAGCATTATTGCTCAGACTTACCATACCAGCGTACTGGTTTAATAAAGTCCCTATCATATAGGAAAATGGCTCCTTAGTGAATCATTAGCACCTCTTTCCTGAAATAGGTGAAAATGTAAATGTAGAAGTCAGACATCTTTGCTGTGACAGAGAGACATTTCTTAAATACAGACACTCACTAGGTGAGTCATAAAGCTGGCCATTAAAATACACATTTTAATACTCTCTATTAAAAAGCGTGTACCATTTTCTTTCACCTGCTTGTTGTGATTTGAATTAAGAAAACCAAAAGAAATCACAACGAATCCAGTTGGTTGCGATTCAAGCCTGCCTTGCAATAATATGCTCAGCTGTGCATATTTCCATCAACCATGGACTGAAAAACTTCCTCCACCTTTTAGCCAACTTTAAATCTAGGACAAACACATAATACCCAGTCTGAAAAGGGCGATAAAAAGACAACAGGAAGATCAAACGTACAGTCAGCTCATCTCTGCTCCTGGCATCTTGTCTGTACTTGCTGTTGGCACTAGTGAATGATCCAGTGTAGGAGAAATACCATATTAAAAACTTTATTGAAAACTATTGCAGATCATTATTTGATGGCTCCACTGCAATTGCTTTATTTGTCAATGTTGGATTGTTCTCCATACAAAGAAAGGTGTGGAAATTTATGAGTAAAGCTCAGTAGGTATAAAAAACATTTTTAGGAGAACTCATGTCTCCTGACTTGTACTCATTAAAAAATTAGCAGTAAAAATATAAAGCAAGGATAAAAAATTCAGTGATTTCCTCTTCTTTTGGATAGGAATTGGCTGGGAACTTGCCGGCTTCCTCTCACTGAAAATATTTCTGAAATCAAAGACCTCTGTGCTTATTTGGACAAAAGGGACGCCACATACGAGCCAATGAAAGATGCTTTAAAATGCTCTCTGAAACAACAGATACCAGCAGGGAGCAGAGATTATAGTAAGTCAGGATTTCTCAAGAACGCTTTCATTTTAAAGTAGAATGAGCAGTGTTGCTTGAATACAATTAATCAGTCAATAATCTACATCTACTTTTGAGGAATTGTTAAGTACAAAAATAACCTGAAAGTCTCACTGACTGACAGTGTGTGTTTTCCAAAGATCTACTGTTACTCCGTTGCTTTGTTAACTGGCTGTTGCTGATCAGTGAATGCTAGAGTAGTAACATTAGCTTCTAGGTGAAATATAGAGCAAGTCTACACTGGATTTAGGTAGCACTCATCACTGAACTAGTTCGCTGAATCTAGTTCTTTCAAGCTTAGACTGTCCAAGTTACTTTCATCCAAACATGTTCTACTTTAAAGATAGCAAGGTTTCTTTTGCTCCCACTTTTCTGATGTGGGACATTTCTTACAACTCTTGCTGTTAAACTAAGGAATCTATTTCTAACTTCCAGCCTAAGTGCATTCACAGCCACATTTCGCTCTTGTTAAAACTGACCTCTAACTTAAATGCTGTTTCCATTTTGTTTTATACTCTCTTCTTCTCTAATGAATCTATAGAAAAATCATCGCACTTTCTATCAACCTTTGTTGTGGCTTTTTAACAAGAGTTAATATGTTCCTCTGACCTAGGGATTTTTCTTTTCACCTATCCCTATTTCCCCATATTCATAGAATTTAGGCCAGAAGAGATCTCTGGAGGTCATTTAGTCCAACACTCTGCTCAGAGCAGGATCAGTTAGGTCGGGTTGCTCATGACCTTGCCAGGAAAAGCTTTCAGTATCTCCAAGGATGGAGATCCTGCAGCCTTTCTGGACTCCTGTTCCAATAGTTGACTATCCTTGTGCTAATTAAATAGTCATACGTGTAATTTCCTATGTTCCAACATTTTCCATTGCCTCTTGGCCTAGCACTTTGTACCACTAAGAAGGATCTGGCTCTGTCTTCCCTATATCCTCCATTAGCTGTAGACAATAAGATCCTTTTCTAACCTGTTCTTCCAAAGGCTGAACACAGCCAGTTCTTTCCACCTTTTCTGTTATGCCATGTGCTCAAGGAAAGAAATTTAATCACACTCTGTACAAGGTAATCCAGTTGAAACCTTCCCAATACTTTAGACTACACTACAACTAATTCTGCTGGACTTAGCCCCCTCAGTTATATCCTACAGTCTCATTTGCAGTTCCTTGTTCCACTGGTGGCAATCACTTCGTGATGAATGAGCGCAGGCAGCCCTTTGCCCCACACAGGCACAAACCTCCTGGCTCAAACTTCAGCTTGTAGGATCCTAAATGTACTTCCTGTTGTTTATTTGCAAATCTGGCTTCTTATTTTGTAGTAGTGACCTTACTTCCAGTTTACTCCACCCTCAAAGTCCTCCGAGTCTTTCTGTAGGGGATGATTATCTTTCCCATTTTTGAGCCATCAGCATATTTCACCAGAGTAAGGTGAAGGGGCTGATGTTCAAAGTATTCTTCCCTGCCCCACACAATAGGGGTATATGCAAAAAGGAGTGAACCTTACCAATTTTCAGATGGAATTATAATCCTTGAGAAAGAGGGTTTGATCTTAAATTGAAACAGCAGTTAATGAATTCTGTGTCATTATTGTGTAGCCTGGTGGATAACACATGCTAGAAAAAGTAACTCTAACTCAAATGTCTTAGTAGTATATGACACTTCAATTGCACATATGTTATGGGAGATGGATGGTCCCATTAGAGTAGCTACATCAGACAAGCATATGCTAGTTTGTTCATTGTTTAGAGCTAATAGAATCTATTTATATCATTATCCGTAGCCCTATAAATAACTTCTTTAAGAGTGTGACTTGCCTATATCTTCTGTAAAGGCCTAGGTTATTGTAAGAAACACAATTCTCCAATCTGGAGTCCTTTTCAAAGTTAGTGGTTTGGTTTTTTTTAAACCATTTCTTTGTAATGCAAATGTATTCTGATTTTCCTAAAACAGTGTCCCAGAACTTACTGACTATAAATAATAATGTGAACTATACTAGTAAAGATTCTGACAGAAACTTTCCTAGATCTTTGCTGCCACACTGAGGTAAGATGTGGGCTGAACCCAGACTGAAATACATCTAAAGCTGTTGTGTTATATCTGCTCTTTGTGCCTAAGAGCTCTTTGAGGCTTGCACCTGCCCAGATACTGTCATCTTCAAAGGAAATAAAGAAGTGGGGCTCCTTGCAAAAATGGGAAATGATGTGGTAGCTCTATTCCAGGTTGCCCTGGAATTCCACTAGCTTTACACTTGCTGACAGGCTGAGTCTTCACTTTAAAAGACCTTTCAGATTTTCCCCTTATTTCCAGTACTTTAGAAATAAATTATTTCTTTCTGTGGCAATGTAACAGCATACTTAAATTCCCCTACCTTAGGTGACATAAATGAGCAAACATGACTGTGCTACTGCATATAGCCTTCTTGCTTATTTTAAATCTACTGAGGAGGGATGGTTTGCTGCAGCATGGATGGACGAAGTTGCCCACTACTCTGACATTACATCCTGACTTGCCTTTTGCTTGCAATTGTGTATGACCCCTAAAAAACCCCATGAGAGTTCCAGCTCCATGTGCATAGAGTACACTCTATTACTTCACTATTTCAAAGAATTATTATTTGCAATATTTTGATGTAAAATCCCATATCATATTAACTTGGTATATGTAACAAAATAATTACTACTTGCAGTTATCTTAGTTGTCACCTTTCCATTTGTTACTCTGTCTCTAGATACAGACTGGACAGCAGAAGTATCCGTATGCTCACTCCATCAGATTGTGAAATTTTATGTAGGAAGTAACTAGTATGAAACTTGCTTACAGACTTTAGTGAAGGTATGGTAATTAATTGTCTTTGGATTGCCTTCACATGAACCTTCCTAGACAGAATGTATAATTCTACGGACTAGAATCTATACTTCTAGTAATAAGGATTATTAGAATGGTTTTGACCTGAAAACTTGGAATTATTAGAACTTCACATGTAGACTGGGCATTTTATACTCGGGGAAGTATGTTCAGGAACCTGAGGGGAAATAAATCTTGGCTTCCCAAGAAAGTACTTTCTAGGCTAACAATGTAAGTACTTTGGATAATAATATAAGTCGACTTGATGGAACTGGTTTCATTCTTTCACTGAGAAAGGAAAAATCCTGTTTCAATTTCTTTCTTTCTATACATAACACCAGAAATATGGTCTTAATGTATTTTTATTTCTGTAGTACCCAGAGCTGTTGTCAAATGACAAGAAAGTCTGTTGGATCACATATGGTCAAAATCTTCTAATCCATGGAGATGAGCAAATGTTTCGACACGTTCTCAACTTTCTAAGACTTGGGAAATTGTTTTTGCCAGCTGAATTTAAGTAAGCAGAGTGAATGCATGTGTGTGTGCATCTATTATTAGATGGTTGTAGGGGAAGTAAGCATAGGGATTTGTCTTCTGATTTTTGTAGAAATATTATCCAAAAGAATTAAGACTTTCCAGTCCTAAAGTAAACTATTCTATCTAAACATAAATTATTGCATTTTAGAGATTGAGAGATGTTTTTGTTTCAGTGTGTGTGCCTTTATTTTAATGATCGGTATGCTAGACACTGTACTGCAGGGTATATTGCAGATCGGTGCATTGTGTGCATGCCTTTAGCAAAAAAGTAAATGTTTTTATTGATGAAGTCATTGCATCCCTCTTCAGATTTTTGTCTTTTTATGAGACAGGGACAGCGAATCTGGCTAGTCCAGCTGAAAAATACTCCATCTGCCCCCTCTAGTGGTATCTCTGTTCTAATGCTGAAAAATGTATCTTCCAAAACTGCAATGGTATAGGAATGGAGGAACAGGGGATGCTTAAAGAAGAGAGGGCACTCTCCATCCATATGCATATCAATCTATTAGATCTCTAAATCTTATCAGTCATCAGAAATTGAGATGGCTTAAAACACCAGTCTCCTAAGGATATTCCTTCAAGGTGTCTCACTTGCCCCTGAGATTGCCCAGACCTGACCCTTCGGTGCTATGGCTTCTTGTAGCAGTTTCCCTGCTTCTGTCACCACTACACGTTACAATTTTTGACATTCAGCAATGAAGGTCTACCTGGCATCAGAAGATCTTTTGGCCTCTTCAGTCCTTGAAACCCTTGTTTGTTGGATCGTTTCTAGTAGGCAGAATATCCACTACAGATCACCAGTTGATGTGGTCATTTTTAGTGCACTTAGCCATTTCCAAGAGGAGTAAGGATTTTCATTCTTTTCTCCGAAGTCAATAAAAATGTTACACCAGTGAATGCTTTGATATAATAACCGCTGGTTGCTTTCATGTCTGTCATCGAAGGCATAGGAAACCAGATGTCAGACACTATGGTTCTATATACAAAGTATGTCTGGGAATGTTTCTGGTCACTGAGGCCAGCTGCCTTTCTGCTTTAACCTCCTGGAGACAATAGCTTCACTCCTCCTGTCCACTGCAAACAGTCCCAGGAACATCGGAATGGCCAAACCATGCCTGGGAATTATTGGAGAGAGTGTAAATTGGGTAGGACCAAGCACAATGCTAAGAGCCTACTAGCAGAGATAATCATGTTCTAGGGCTAAGAGTATTTCTGGGAATGGTGGATTTCCTAGTAGCCCGTCGAACCCATGAACCCTTTTTATGGGATTCCCTATGGAAAATGCCATGGTGAATTTTCCACATGAGAAAAGTGTCATGAGTGTCACAGAGCAGAATAGGATTCCTGCTTCTCAGAGTTTTATCATCAATACCCATGGCTAATTAAAGAAAGAAAGAAAAAGAAGGGACAGAGGTTTTAATTTCACTAGCAGAAAGGAAATAGCTGGGAAAGGTGTTGAGAATAGCAAGTTTCACAAAGATTCAGAGGGCTGCTGCTGAACACCTCTAGTTTAGGAGCTCATTTATTTTGGTTGCACCTTTTCAAAAGTGTGCCATCTATTCAGGGATTCCTGACATAAAATTCAGACTCCGTGGAAGTCAATAGTAGCAAATGGGAAGATTTCTATTTATGTCAGTAAAACAAGCTTTTTTTTTTTTTTTCCTCCCATTGTTTGAATGCCAGATATGAAACAGAAAAAAAAAAAAAGAAAAAAAATTATTTGGGTACTTTTCAGTATTTAAAATGATAGGCTATTTGTCCATCTGTTAAAAGAAAAATCACTTGTTAAAAGAAAATGCATCTTTCATTTTTGTGTAGTGATTGTCTAAGTTTCCAAAATTAATATATATATTTAGAAAAGATAATCTGGTAAGATTGTTTTTTAGCAATTTTACAGTTCAATTTATTTGCAGCTTACAGAGAATGGTCTCTCTTTTGTCAAGAAGCAGAGGAGTACCAAATCCCTTCTCTTTTAGAGGCACTTTATCACTCTGATGCATACAGGTAGATAAAAATTCTCTTCTTTCTTTTTCTTTTCTATCATATAATGTCCTTTCCTCTGACCTAGCAGTGTTTGTCCTTTGAAAGGGGCACAACTTTCTGCTTTCCTTCTGAAACACAACCACTGGAAGATAAGCAATTCCACTATCTTTTGGGCCACATTTTTTCCCATCAGTTGTTTGGGTACTGGAAAGTAAGAGTAGTCCTTGGTCAGTTCTCCAGTAACCAAGGAAAAAGGCAACAGAGATACACCCCTAAGTCCAGATACTGAGGATATTGCAATGCATACTGGAAACCATTGTACCGAGACAGCAGACCAAGCAAAGACATTCTGATTTATTAGCTTTGGCTCAGCCCTGGCTTTGCCAAGCCCCAGCTGGTTTCTGCAGACCCACTGGAGGATTCACCAGCACTGCAGAGTGTAGAATGGTATATCTTTGATGCAGCATCACAGAAAAGGGTTGAGACCTGCTGGAATTTAAATCTTGATAAATTAATGTTGAAAATAACTTTTTGTATATGAATTAATCATTGAACACTTTCTCAGAGACGTATTTTTCCATTGCTGACAACTTTAAAAATAAGATTGGATGTTCTTCTAAAAGATGTTTTGCTATTAAAATAGCAATTAGTATTCAATGTTACCGGAGACCAGGGTTCATAATTGCAGTGGTCTTCTCTGGCCCTATAAAATCTGTGAATCTGCAAACTCTAGTGTTTTCTTCTCTACTGCGCTCATTAGAGGGATGGACAAAATGTTAAAATGTAGGCCTTTTGGAAAGTCCACAGAACTGATATTTTGACTCCTGACTGTAGGGTACTTTAGAAGTTGACCTAGCACGGCCCTTCTCTTCAGTATTTTTCTGAGAGCGCTCTAGAAGTTAGTGGATTCTTACTTAGGCCTTTTAAAGTAAAGATATATCCATTAAACTCTTCCCAGAAGATCAAGAATCACTGCAGCAGGTTTTGAAATACCAGTGCTATGGGCTGTTTGCATCAGGATTTCCAACTCTATTTTACTGCCACGAGCAACAGTAGGACACACTAGTGGTAGCTGCCAGTACCCCACCAGTGGTGACAGCAGTTCCTAGATGTTATCGTAGATGTCTATGAAGAAGAAATCCGAAATGTCATTCCTCAACTTTCCCATCCCAGTGTAGGAGCCTAACCTCACATTCCTATACCTGTAGAGCAAGAGGAGGATGGCAGAGGAACTCTGAAGCACTCTACATGTGAATGACAAAATCTTACATTCCCTAGAGGCTTTAGCTCAGGACTAGTACTACTCTAACATAGACTCCTCCACTGCTCTTTGGTGCTTTCCCATCAGGGAAGGTGTCAGCATCTCTATCATATACACCACAGGCCTCTAACGAAGTAAAATAATTGGGGATTGGTCCCTAGAGTTCTTTCCTAGATCATCGGCCAGCTCCATAGGCAATCTTAGCAAATTTCTGTCTATAGGAGACAGAGAGCAGCAGCTACTCTGTGCTTCCAGAGTTGTTTCACCTTTTCAGAAACTTCTGTGCAGCTCAGGCTGTCGCTGTAAGGAGCTGAGTTTCTTAAGCAGACTAAAAATTTGATTTTGAAACCATGAATGTAGATGGTTGACCTGAATCGGACTAGCTTGCTCCCCAAAGTGTCTAGAACCTCTTCATAAAAAAAAAAGAGAGGAAAAAAACCCCTCCAGATATGATGTCAGGTGGAAATAGCTTGGATTGATCAGCAAGGCTTACCTAAATCCATTGGTCAAGGTTTTGTGAATGCTGGAAGAGAGACAAGAAATCATTTTTGTCCCCTATGTATCTGCAGCATCACATTTCAGAAATTCTCATCACAAGTGGGCGATGAAAACTCCTGGTCCTTTGCTACTCCTGTATTGTGTACTAGTGATAATTGTGAACTCCTTCTGTTACCCCATAGTTTAAAAGTAATTCATAACAATTACTGTGATGTACGCAGATCCATTGATGACTAGAAGTCCTGGCAGTTCCTTTTACAGATTGACTGGTTGTTGCCCCTAGAAAAAGTTCTATAATAATTGTAAATATTCATTTTCTAGATTATGGATCCAAACCAATGAATTGTGCAATAAAGTTTCTTTTCCATGTAGAAGATCAAGTACTGTATCTTGGAATGAAGAGAATGAGTTCAGCAAAGACCCAAAAGAACTAAGATTTGGTTTTCAGAACATGTTGCTGTAAAGCACTTCTAGAAAAGTGCCAGATTTAAATTCACCAGTGCCATTTTGCTTTTTTTCTCTCCAAAACCAGCTACAAAATGAGTCTTGGAAAATCTCTCTCTATAAAAAAAGAACACCTTCATTTTACAAAGGCAGGCTTTGAGCATCAAGAGAGAATGGAGAGCAGGAATAGACATTCTGTTTGCATATCACAAAAACATGAGAGCGCTCCTTCTCTAAAGACATAATTTAGATGGAGATCCACACTGAATTCTGCAGTAGATATCAAGGCAGGGTGCTTTAGCACTGCCTGAGTGCTGGGCTTTTATTTCTGGTTTTATCCAATGACTGTATGCTGTAAAGTCATGCAGTCCAAAGCATAACATCAAGATCCTCTGGTCTGTCTTAGCTTGGTCTAAACCCCACAAGCCTATACTTTTTTAGAGTCTCCTTTTGGTCTTGTGATTCGCGCTCCTGGTTACTTAGGAAGACTCTGTCACCAAAGGGTGGGAAGTGTTTTCATGCAGATTTCAGTGCAGCTTGGAAACTGGGGCATTTTGCTGGGTCACGGGATGTAGGGGTTCTGACCCCTCTGGGCAAGGGGGACCTAGAAGCCAGATCTCCTGGTTCCTAGGTGGTAAAGATGGGAGTGGCAAGCTTAGGCAGTGCACTTGGGCAAGATAGTGTCCTGCAGGAATTATCTAGTCTTTGAGTTCAGTGGAAGAGGGAAAAGTTCTTCCTGCTCAAGTCTTTGAATTCTTTTAGTCCTTGGCTGGACACCAGCAGCTGAAAGTTGCCTTCAGCCTACTAGAGAAAGGCAAAATGAAAGTACTGCCTCTGTAGCATTTACACACTGATAGCAAACTGCTCCACCCTGTAGCTTAAGTGGTGTTCTTGTGGCAGAGTGGCTGCACAGCTTGCTTTAACTTGCCAAACCATCTTTCTTGTACAGAAGAATGTGCTGCTGTCAGTTCAGACAACCAAAATTATCTTAGCTGTAGTGGTAGCAGGGATGTTGAGGCGCTGTTTGTGTGCCTTGGCCACTCCAGTGTCTGTCTTCAGGTTCAGCAAAATTCACTGATGGGAACTGAGGTGATTCAGGACAGCGTAACATCAGTGCTGAGTTATCAGGGCAGGGTTTGGAGAGCCTTAGGACACTGCATCCAGCACAGAAGTGAGAATGCATTTTCCAGGATTAAGAACTCAGTCCTTAAATGCTTGTATTATAATGAGTAAAATACCTCAGTTATTAGGAAAGGCGAAACTTACACTTCCTTCCGTATCAATTAGAAATAACCATATTTCACTGTATTTTTAGGTGTACTCATCTACAGCTGTGGATTCCATTAAGTGCTATATTAACATATGGAGTAATATAAAAGATCTGAAGGGAAAGCAAGAGACCAGTGGGGCAAAGTATTCCAAAATTATTTTGTGGGCTAAAGGGACAAAGCAGAGGAATACACTTGGAGGATACAACGACTCCTCAGACAGCCTGATAAGCTCCAGCTATTACAAACATTTAGTAAGCCCTCCAAGGAAGGGAGGAATGAGAAGCACTTTGACAAAGAAAGTGGAAAGTAAAGACTCGGCAAGTCACATCCAGAAATTAATTTCCTTGGTAAAGGAATGGGATGCGGTGAACTGCAAGAGGTGTGATTTTTCAGCACATGAGAACCTCTGACAGTTGTATCACAGAGAGTGTCTCTCAGTGCAACACTCCTGAAAAGGACAGGGGTGTCAAAGATCCTGTTGCCTCTGCTCCTGTGAAAACAAGCTATACAATTCAAGGAAACAATCTCATTACCCAATATGAAGTCAGGGCTGAAGGAAAGCAGTCAGAGCAATATGTGTTCACACAGTTTGCCAGTTACTCCAAGCGCTGGAACGAATCAGTTCAGCACCATGAAAACTACTCCCACAGTAGGAAGTGATGCAGAGAATATAAACAAGGAGCAACCAGAAGGTAAATGACTGCTTTGTGATTGTTATTTTCAAAAGTGATGGGAGTCATTAACTGAATGACTTATTTATATAAGATACTTTGATCATGCTGATGAATTTCAGAGTGACAGTCTCAACCTTTTCTTGTTCCCCTGCTCATAGAAAGTGTTTCCAGTGAAGGAAGAGACAAGACCTTGCAAATGAAGCTCATCCCTCTGAAAGATAGTGAGTTGATTGCCAGCTGCTAAGCAAGGGCTGGATCTTACTGCTTGTCTATGCAGAGTTTAATACTAGAAGTGTGTTTGCCAGAAAGGTGGAGGAGCTTTTAGCTTCACTGGCATCAATGAGTTGTTCTTTCAGTGTCCTTGTGACTCTGCCTCTGAAGCTGTGCAAGGAACAGTGAAGCTGGTTTGATGTAGTTAAGTTATCCAGTTAGTGACAAAAATCTGTAATTTCACATAAAGACTGAAAGATTTCTATGCTAAACACAGACGTTTCTACAGAAATGTGTAGAAGTTAAAAAGATTTAGCTGATTAGCCATGATACTAAATGCAAACTCAAGAAAGCTCAGTGGAAAGTCTCAGTCCAAGACTTCTGACACCCTGAGAAGGATGTGATTTACCCTGTACCGCTCCCACTGTGGGTAACATGGCAGGTTTTCACAGAATTGTCGGCAAAGCAAAATGGTTAATAATTAAAATTAATAGTGGTTATGGATGTTTTTGTTACTATAGCAGTGCAAGCCAGGTTATTATTTTCCTCAGAAAAAAAGCCTCCTTCACATCCTGTGAAAGAATCCTGGACTGAATTATGCTTGCGTTCTGTTAAGCAGTAAATGGTAATGTAAATGTAAACCTAATGGTTACTCTGTCTGAATTTTCCATGTGAAAGAGGGAAGTAGAGAAGGGCTGTAATGTTATGCCTAAGATTGCAAATTATTTGGTGTAAAGACTGTCATTTACTGTCTGGTGGCGTTTCACCTTTCCTGGCAAAACATCACAACAGAATAAAGACAAAAGGAGGCATAACTCTGAAGAGAAGATGACAATATTGTGTTCGTACTTAAAAATGGACAAATGCGTTTATCCTATTTACTACTGATAGAGGCTTTGATGTAAAACTCAACCTGTATTCCTTCACAGAAACAAAGGATGGCAAACAAACTGATATCATTCTGGCAGACCACAGAAATGTAGGATTGATTCTCAAAGTTGAACATCCTCCAGTTTTAGACAATGATGGCTTTTGCATAAGCAATGAAGAGACTGTTGTTTGTTTACAGAACTCTGGGATGGCAGCCAGCTGGACACTAGAAAAGCTCAGGCACTATCGAAAGGTAAGGAGCTGTAAATAGCTCTAGGATCTTGCTGCAGCGTTTTTAGTATGAAAACCATGCTCTCTGTCATGGTTTGTTGTCAGTTCTGAGTAGCTGAGTAGCTAAGGTTATCACAGCCAAACCACTGCTTACATTTAATCCTTCAAAACAGCCAGACAGCAGCTGCCTAACCTAGCAGGTGCCTTGAATATTTACCGGTGAAGCTCGCTCTTTAATGCATCAGGAAAGATGCAATGGTCTGAAATCTACATTCAGTTTTTATTCAGGCAAACTCTTACATTGAGCCAAGATTTGAATGCTGGCTCAGGTTAAGAGTCAGTTGCAGTAAAACCTTGGACAGGTTGGAGAACTGGGTAACTGAAACGGTGAATGCTGAAACCACAGCTTTTTTTTTCTTTTCTTCCCCTAATGCCTTTGTGTTCTTTCAACTGTTCCTTTTAGATATAGTTTTTCTTACCTTTCTCACTTGCGTGAGGAGATATTCTATGCCAGGAAGTGCCACTTTTTCCTGACCAATGTAAGGCTGAAGGATCCCAAAGAAATCACAGCCAAAGCTGGGACCCTCATGAACAGGCTTTGTGTAGGTACGAGCTGCTCATGGCCCAGATGATCCGTGGTTTCTCAGCTTCCCCAGGCCATTGGTGCGGTGGCAGGAGTTAGGAACTTGGCTCTTCACACTCGGCACCAACCGCCTGGCTGCTCCAGGAGCCGCAGTTGTCACTGTGCTGAGCCAGGGGGACGGCTTTGGTCTGGCAATCCCGCAGGCCAGGAGGTGCTGGTTGCAGTAACAGGGGGCTGGGAGACTTTCCAGGTCCATTTTTAAAAACCAAGGGTAAGCCCCAAAGCAGAGGACGGGAGACCCAGCCTTGGGCACTTGAGCAACTACGGCACCTTTGGAGCTGGGAAGAGGTTTGGCCTCCAGTTGCTCCTGCAGTGATGAAGAAATAAATAGCAGTGTGTCCTGCCCCCAGCATCACCCCGCCATCTGTGCACTGCCGTGTGCTTTGCTGTGGGCTTGTGGCAGCAATCGAGACCCATCCTCAAGGGGCCAGGAATTTCTGTTGTGTGTTTGGGGTTTTTTTGTGTGTCAGAAGTACCGGATCCCACCCCACAGCCCCTCCCCAGCAGTCCTGCTTTAAGTAGCTCCAACCAGAAGCATTTTTCTTCTCCCCAGGGGAAGAGAAGGGAGAAATATGTACAGAGAGGGACTGGGGAGAGCTTGCCCTTGAGTTTTCCTCTGCTGGTGGTGCCTCTGTGACCACTTCCAGCCCTTGAGGGATGACTGCTACCTCACACTGATCCTTTAATAACTAATCCTGGCCAAGGCCAGACTGGCAACTTCTCCATCTGACTGGTAATTTCACTACAGGGAGAGCATTTTAATAGAAGTTTAAAATTCTGCTGCTCATTTAGGAGATTGTCCCCAAAAAAGGGGGCAGGAGGCTTCTAGGGTTGCTAAGAAAGGGAGGGAGTCAGGGATGCTGCCATTCTGCCATCAGCAGGTGACTTAAGGGAGGCCTTGGTTTTGTGCTTTTTCAGTTTACCCTGCCCTTCATGTGGAAGTACAGCCACTGCCTTGACTTACTGATCCAGAGAGGGTTTGCCAGACTGGTCTCATATTTTGCCTTGCAAATGTAAGTTCACAGAACATTAATAAAAATTTGAGCCAGCTCCTTTTTGGTAGCTTTATTAGTGACCTGTGGAGTTTATTTAAAGAATCCCCTCTTTCTGGTAACATATTTGTTAATATTAATTGCCCAATACAATGAGAATAATAATCAGAGGTCTAGAGCAGTAACTTCACATTTCAGTTTAAGCACATTGTGCAGACAGGGCACTTTGCTAGTCCTTGTTTAAAACCTCCAGAGAGCTGATGCTTCTCATCATGGGAGAAGCCAACTGCTCTTGGCACACACCCACTTCCTCTTCTGCAGCCCAGAAATCAAGATACAATGCAAACACGATTCATATAAAGAAAATAACCTTTATTAGACAAATCAATCAAACCCTGAAAAAACAGTGTCAGGTAAACATTACTAAAGGTTTTTCCAGCAATGCAGAAACCTTTGAAACGGAGAAATTCAGCAAGTTTCATGTTCCTCTTGTTGCATTAGTAAATTCTCTCCCTCATGACACGAGCTATTGCTGTCCTGACAGCCCCAAAATCTTGCATTAACTCAGCAATTATTTCAAAACAGTAATTTCTAAAATCTTCCCTGTGCAACTGTTTCCCACGCCATTTTGTACAAAGGTGTCAACCTCCATTCTCTTTGCTGTCTAAAAAAAGAACAAGGTTTAAAGAACATCGAGCTTATTAAAAATAAACAAGTGTTTTATGTACAGTACAGGAATTCCCAAACTTGAAGGAACATGGTCGGTATGTTGAGGGTAACTCAGGTAGGTATGAGACTACAGCACAGCCCTGTCAAGGGCCCAGCAGCTCCCCTGCCCCAGCAGCTATGGGGAAAAAACTGCAATTAAAATAAGTTACTGCTCCATCTTCTTCTCAGGCTGGATGTGACACCACTGCTGACACACCTGGGGGAGCCCAATTTACAACACTTCATAAACCAGGAGTAAACAGGAGGCTTGACAGCAACTAACTATGGTTTCCAAAAATGCTACTTCTCCTTTCCTCCAAGAACAGGAAGAGGTTGTCACAGCCATGACCTGAGCTTTGATGTTACTCAGGAATAGGCCACCTTATAACACAGGGCACATTTGTCCTGCAGTGATGCTGTGCTCCTTCAGACACCATGCATTTAAGGGTCAGTGTTATAGTCAACCCATTACACTCAAAACATGTTGGTCTTGGATGCCACCACCACCCAAAGCTCCTCAAACAAGCCACGACGGTGGGACTGAAGTACCCCAGAGGCGAAGCAAGCAGCCAGCCCCTGTCACCCCAAAGCCTGGGTCACAGCCCGGCCACTGACACAAGGCATACTGGAGTTTGAACACTGCCACTGGAACCTGACCCAGCAGGGAGACAGAGAGAGACTTGCTGCTGGGACAGCAGCTATGCCAGGTAACTGGCTTAAATTAAAGGCAGGAACTTTGGAGACTTGTGCCTCCTGACCTCTGGCAGACAGCTCACTCTTCCTCATGCCCTGCCAGGACTCTGCTGGCTGCTCTGTGGACAACTCCCTGCTCTGCCTTGGCCTTCCCATTGGTGTCTGGGAAGTCTCCACCTGGGGATCTTCCCCTTCTCCTGGGGAACGCACTCGGGATTTACAGGGTTTAGCTGGCAGTTGGTTAGTGCAGAAATTGTATGGGGAGAGGGGAAGAGCTGACAGGTGGTTAAGACAGAGATAAGCTCAGCACTGAGGCACTGGTAGAATCATCTGAAGAAACGATTCACTGTAACAATGAAATTGCTTTTATTAAAACAGAAGTGTTAAGCCAAGAAAATAAATTATTGCTATGATAGACATATTTAGAACATACGGAAGGACGTTAAATCTTAAGCTCCAGGTCAATATAACCCTGAAACCGAAAGTTACACTACTTCTCTTAAATACCTCAGTTTCTCTTTATGCCCTTCCAAAAACTTTATAAAATGTGCAGCTTACAGAACAAATAGTAACAGAGTCACTCGTAACAAAAATCTGTACAGCTCATAGCTTTAAAAATAATACTTTTTTTCCCAAACTGTTATGCTACTTATTACTCATAAATATAGGGCTAACAAATTTTGAATGCCCAAGGTCCCATCCAACACCAAATCTATTACGTGTAGTTGACAGAAACCTTCTTGGGACTTCACCCCAGCCAGAGGTCAGGTTTTGGGCTGTTTGAAAGAGGCTGATTATGTGTAAAAGAAAAAAAATAAAAATATGTATCTCTATCTTCATGGCTGAAGACTGTCTCCTTCTGCTGGTCAGAGGCCTGGGGTCTTCAGGGAGTTTGAAATGGCAATCAAACCTGGAACACAGCACCGTGCAATGGGTTAGACTGGCTGCACTCCTGTGCCATGGCAGGTCGTTCTGTCCTGGCCAGCAGCGATTTTGCAAAAGGCTTGAAAACCACTGTTTGTCAGAGCTGTGTTTTGGTGGGGAAAGAACATTTTACTGGAAGAGCCTCGCAGGAGAAGCGCAGCTCTTCCCCCATGCGGAGGGCTGCCTCTGCACCTCAGGACTCACCCAAAGGCTACGTGCTGCTGTCCCAGCAGCAGCGGGCCAGCAAACCCCACTGCTTCTGTGCCCACTTCAATAAGTCTTGTCTCTGACTGTCCCCCCCTGCCAGAAGGGGCTCTGGATCTTAAATTTTAACCTTGACTGGTGCTGTTTAACTAGTTATGAACTCCTGTACCTGCAGATCACAAGCCGTGGGCCCATGTGCTTGTTAATACCCCCACAGTACCAAACCTATGAGCCATCTACCACCCTGGGCCTTGACTCTTCCAGCCCTAGTCCTGCCTCTCTCACGTTCCTACCCCTTTGCTCCCTGGGGAAAGGGAGGCTCAGGTCTAAGGCCAGAGAGGAAAAAGCTGAGCCAGAAGCAGGCCAGTCTGGGTGGGCCATGACATGACTTCCCAAGGGCTGCCACCCACACATAGGAAGCCCTGCTTGGCTGCAAGTCTTGCCAGGGCTCACCCCTCCTCAGTTCAACAGCAACTTCCTTGCAGACAAGGCATCCTCCAGCTCCCTCGGGACATTGTGACCATCACCTAGCAGGTTCCTCTGCCTGGTGATGTGCAGTTTCCTTTGGAGGTTCAAAGGAAACTGTGGGATAAATTCAGCGGGGGGAGAATACTGTGGATTCCCCAAGGCAGTTCAAAGGGACTAACAAAGAGCAGGATTTCGGCAAACAGCCACAAGAAACAGATTAGTGGTTAGACAGCTGGGCAGCATTCAGAGGAAAGAAGCTCATCTGAACACCGTGGTGGTGCTCGAGCCTCTGCTACCTGAAAGTGACTTGGCTTGTTTTGCTTCTGCTTCTTCAAGCCAGGGAGGCGTCAGACTGGCTGTGGAAGGCAATGGCTCTATGGGAGCCGTCTCTGTGGGAGCTGGTCTCCTCTAAGCAGATGAATCAGAGCCCCAGAGACTGGTCAGAAAATCATGTGAAAAACTTCTCATCGAGAAGCAGAGGGTGAGGCTCTTCTGACCCAGAGCTACTGACAAACCTGACGAGCACTCAGAGCTGCTGGAAAATCCCCTTCAGGGGCTACTTACAGCAACTCCACTTCCTTAGGCGGTATACGTGTGCAGAGGGGCTCACACTATTGTCGAGGGACTTATGGTGACCTGGCCTGCTTTCTGCGGAGGAGAGAAGTCAGCATTAGTACAGGGTTAGAGGACAACAGCATCAGGACATGATCTAGTGGGAAGGGAAGCAGCCAAGAACTCTCAGGAACGTTAAGAGGAGACACACTGCCATCTCAGAGCGACAGGCGCCCAAACCTCCCAGAAAAGGAGCTTAGCAGCATCTGCAGCAGAGCTCCATCCGTCCCAGGAGGTTATGTATGTACCCCGGCCCATGACAGCATTATAGGTCCTGTGTACAGCATCCCCTCCTGGTGTATCCTCCAGCACTGGTCCTTTCCAGAGCATCTCCTCGTGGGTCTTGGCCACCACAGGGGAGGCTCTCACAGCAGAGGGGCTTTCGCCTGCTCCAGAGGAGGTGAGTCTCTGCAAGAGGAAAGGTCACTTCCCCACAGTGACCCCTAGCCCAAAAGCAGCATCTTCAGTCCCCCCATGAGAGGCAGTGGCTTGAACCGGGGAGGCAGTTGCAGGAACAGGCAAAGCGAAGAGAGTATTTTGGCCACTTGCACTTACAGCAGAAATGTACTGGCTGTTTGTGAACCTGGGTTTCTCCTCCACCGCAGAGCTGTGTTGTGGGCCTAGGGGCATGTAGGGGGGTGAGCCCACGTCTTCACAGAAGCTTTCTTGTGGGATGCTGGAGACACAGCCACTGTCGGAGCCACTAGAGCCACTGCCTGACATGCAGTGTGATGACTCCGAGCTCTCTGTTGCTGGGGGAAGAGAGGAAGGTCACTCTGATGATGATGAATTTGGCCTACATACACTTGACAATGTATCTGTCTGCAGGGGCACTGGCCACACAAGCCCGTAGATAAGCCACACTCCTGTCTGGGCCTCTTTAAAGCCATAGGCAACAAAATAACCTGAGGAAGGGTATCAAATGATGCTGGAGATCAGTATAGACTGGCCAGGGAAGTTCACACAGGGGAAGCCAAGAGGTCACCGGACCAGGCTGGTGAGAGCAAGGGACAGAGTGCCTCGTACCAGAGGGACAGAGACACAAGCACTGGCCTCCAAGGCCCCAGAAGCCCCAGTATGCAGCACCAAGCCTGCCACGGGCACAGCTGCAGATCAGTGGGTGCTTTACTAATCCCTGTATCTGAGCTAACTCCCCCCCACGAAAGCTGGGACAGAGCTGGCATGGAAGGGCAGGGCCCTCTTTGCCCCAGTCTGGGTATGAGACAGGGACTGCCATGACCCCAATGAGCCTGGCCTGACTGCACAGCGCAGACCAAGGTGTGGGGATGAGCCCACACATCCCAGAGCGCACTACAGAACAGTGGGGCTTGTACGTACTCAGTGATGGCTGGCTGCTCGTCTCGTGCTCCAGCTCGTCTTCCTCGATGCAGGTGCCAATGTCAAAGGGGCGGCTGGGGGCCAGGACGCCTGGCAGCAGAGCCTGGTCCAGGTACATGTGGAGATTGAGGGGCCCCAGCAGGGAAGAGGAGGAAGGGCTGTATGCAGCAGGGGTGCTGCCAGCGGAGAGCTGTGCTTGTGTCCTCTTGTATGGGTTGGAATGGTCAAACAGAGACACCGCAATTGATGCTCTGGTCCTGGCGCCTGCCAGAAAACGTACCAAAGAAGCCCTGAGCACCAGTTCTGCCTAGCTCACGTGGAGCAAGGGGGCAGGCATGGCTGGCACTTACCTCTTCCTTTCATGATGTAATCGATAGCACGGTCATTGATAGCTGCCTCGCTGGGTTTGATATCCAGGAATGGCTTGTTGCCCACACCCATGGAGACCATCTCCTGCATACGGATTTCTGGAGAGGAAGAGACCCACAGCCACGTTTGTGAGGTTGACCCAACCTTCCCCACAGGCACTATGCAGCCCCAGGCCAGAGCACTCCTGGGCCAGGCTGCTCCTGAACTACTGAGATTAGATCTGTTCTCCCCTCGCTCTCCAGTCCTGAGGAGTCTCCACAGACAAGCAATCATGCCCTGCTCTGGCCAAGTAGCTCAGTGCCATGCCACCTACGAGAGTCCTGCCAAGCGGGAAGCCTGGGGCGGAAAGGAGGGACTCAGACAGACAGCTGCCGCTCCAGCAGTGGCCTAGACAGTGGGGAGAACAGGGAGCCATTCAGGAGCACAGCCCATACTCACAGGGCAGGGAACCCTGTGCTAGTATCTTCCTTGGGGATGAGGGACAGGAAAGGGACATGCCCAGCCAAGCCCAGCACATGCTCCTGAGGCTGCATGCTGGCACACAGCTGCTCGCCACACAGAGCTGCCTGGTAACAGGCTCCAAACCTACTCAGGACAGCATGAGCTGAACAGGCCTCCCGCACCTTTTGTGGCACAGATGCCCCGGGAAGGAATCACACCTTTATTGCGGGCTGCCTGCTGCCACAGGATCTTGGCAATGTCACTGGTCCAGGCCTGCTTAGTCTCAGCTGAGCTGGCCTGGAGGATGTAGGTGTCACTGGACTTCCGCCTTCGGAACCAGATCTCAAAGCGCAGGCCACTGTCTCCAGAGTTCTCCGTCAGACCGATGTCTGCAGTCTGCCAGAAAAAGGAAGAGCAAAGCATCAACTGGGGCTCCACCAGGAGCAGAAAGGTTAAACCCTGCCTGCACCCTGTGCCAGAGCTGCCTCCAGCTCAGCAGACCCCAGAGGAAGGAGCCTGAGGGCCTGGACAGGAGCAGGTACTATCTGGACAGAGACAGTCCAAGCAGTTCCCAGTACTTCATCCACAGTCAGCACCACCTCCCTGCCGCACACACACTGCCATTCCCTCACACTCCCTGTCCCCACGTCTCACAGCATGGAGGGGGCCCAGGCATTAATGTGTGAAGTATTTCCTTCTGGCTTCACTGCATAGCTTGGAGAAGGCTTAGCAGTGCTGGGAGGAGCCCTTCTGCTGAAGATGCTCCTGCTCCCCATTTCAGAGCCATGCATCCATGGGAAAACCAGCCATGGACACCTCTTGCACAGGAGGGAGCTGCAGGGCTGCCCATACCTTGAAGGAGCGCTTGTAGATATACACATCAAAGCCACCCTCGATCCTCTTGGGCTTGCTGAACAGGATCAGGTCCTCAAAGAGGAAGACGTGTCGCTGGCATTTCCTACGGCCCAGCCAGATGGTGAACTCATCCTGCCGCACCAGCTGCCCCTGCTCCTTCAGGTTCACCTGGACACAGGGAACATCCTGATAAGACCCCAGCAGAATCAGGTCTAGACTTAGAGAGCAGGGTCCCATATGGCTGTAGCCCAGGTGGTGAAGAAGTGGCAGCTACCTGTCATCTTTAGGAGGGCTCTTGAAGAAGTAGGGCTGCGTGGCTCTGCTAGAGGCCACATCAGGCTGAAACAACTGGCCCAGAGCTCAGGGAAGAGCTGCACCTTTCTCCTAGGCATAATCCACAGATGACCCTCTCTTGTCACCCTGTGCAGATCTGTGACAAACCTCTGCGGTGGCAACTGGAGGCAGCAGCCAGAGCTTTCTCTTGGGGGAAAGAAGAGAGCTGAAGAGGAAAGGAGTCCTATCAGACTGCCAGGAGCTCATCTGGGTCAGAAGACCAGTCCCTCAGTTCTTCCTGCTCCAGATCCATCTTCCTCCACCCTGAGCCCTGTGGTTTCTCCTCCTCCAGTGCTGCACTTTGCATGCCTCTCCTTCAAGCCCCACCTAGCTGATTTTGGCCTACCCCTGCCATCAGCATCAGTTTGAATTCCTTCTTGCAAACTGCCTGACCCTCTTATCACCAGCTCAAAAGAAACTGAAGGGCCTGAGGCAGCCTGCAGGATACCATCTGCAAGTGCTGCCAGGCTCCCTCATGTCACCTCAGTAAGCACCTGGGTGCATGTTTATGACAAGCAGCTCACCCAGCTCAAGTAACAGCATCCAGGCTGTCTGTCCTAGTGAATCAAGGAGACCCTGCTCTGTGCCTCAGTAGTCCCACTATGCTGTACTGGCAGACAGCACCCTGATCACTCTGGGAATTTGAGGGGAGGCTCACCATACGATCCAAAGACCGCAAGTCTAGAGAAGGGGAAGAAGTGTGGCTCTGCCCCCCCGGGCTGGGGAGGACACTAGAACGTACATCACAGTCACGGATGGCATCCATGGCCAGCAGGTCATTTCCGTGCCGGAGCTGAAACTTCACCATCTCCTCAGCTGCACGGAGGTAGCCCAGCTCCTGCTCTTGTGCCTCACTGCACTCCTTGATCAGGTCCTTCAGGAGCAGGGCGTATTTGCTCATCCGCTGGATAGGTTTCAGCAGGTAGGAGGCCAGGTCCATCTTATCTCCAAGCTGCACCTGCTTGAACTGAGAAATGCAGCAGAGAGTGAAGGCAGCAGCTTCCTGTGGAGAGCCCTGTGCCCCCAGGCAGGCACTGACACCCATAGCTTTCCTGACTGGGATACTCTGTTTGCCCTGCAGGGAAACGCAAGGCCATAGGACCAATGCTGCTGTGTGCTGGGCTCCTTTCCAAAGCACTCGCCACACCTCTGCCCCTGTCCCCCAACATACACTTGTGCAGAGAGCTGTGCCAGGAAAGCAGAGGTAGTGCTGAACATTCCCCTCAAGCAGGAAAGTTGGGCTTGTTTAAACAGATCAGTGACTCAAACACCAGGAGTAATCGTGATGCAGGCAGTGGAATTTACCTTGAAGAAGGTATTCCCATGGCTGGCCAGCAGCGAGTCAGACTTTGGCTTGTTCTTGCTATACAATGCGTACATCCCAAATTGGTCTTTCTGCAAAAAAGAGGTCCCTGCATGAGACCAATGCACATCCAGGACACAGTGACAGCCATGCCCCCGGGTTGGTTACTCAAGTACTTCCGCCTCTCTCAGGCTGCACCAGAGCCTCCTATGATACCAGGAGTGACTTTGCTTCAAGTTCATTAAGAGCCAGGGAATGTTCTTTGTCTTCCTACTCCTACAGTAGCAAAGACTTTTCAATCCACTGTCCAGTTACCCTTGCGCCCTTTGTACCCCAATAGATACCATTCACCTGGTAGCAGCAAACACGCATGGGGCAGCTGAGCTTGAGACTGGTGTCCCGTGCTTCTCCCTAGCAGCCCTTTTCAACAAGCAGGTCTGTACCTCTCCATTCCCTGAAGTCATTCCACACTGACACCACAGACAGAAGACAGGGTAAGGGATGCCCCTGCGGAAGCAGGTGGTCTTTAAGGAACAGACATTTTGCTTCCCTGGCAGGGTCTCTTGGTAGCAAAGAGCAACAGGAAAGGCAAAAAGCATCTGCTGCTGCCTGGACCCAGCCTCGCAGAGCCATCCCAGTCCAACTAGCATTTGAGCTGGCAGGGGACAAATCAACCCAGGACAGGGTAGTCCTTCCCCTCCCAAAAAAGGCCACAGCCCACTAAGACGCAGGTGAGCAGCTAAACGTATAGGCACTGCTGGGCATAGGAGCCAAGCACGTGTCCGGAGGAGCCCAACCCCAGGGGGAAGGTGCTGATGCCTTACATGTCGGAGGAAGCAGTGGCTGACCCGCAGCGGGTGGTTGCAGCAGCTCTCGAGCTCTCGCAGGAAGTACTGGCTGTGGAAATCATAGAGTTTCTCCAGGTTCCCAAAAATGACGCTGCGTTTCCCACGCAGGTCCTGGGGGAGGTCGAGGCGCTCCATCTCAGGGAAGTAGCTATCGATGATGTAGCAAAGCGACCTCACGTATTCCCGTTCCGTGGTTACCATCTCATCAATGATGTGCCGCAGCTTGCTGCAACAGGAAACACTCAGCCTTGAAGGGATCCACAATGCAGAAGGGCTACAGCATCAGAGTGCCTGCAAAGCACTGGACTATCCCTAGAGAAGCTCTCCCTGAGACCCAACGCGGGAATGAGATGATCCTTTAGCACCATCCAAGCTCAGATTCACAACTGCCTGTGATAGCTCTGACCCTGAACACTGAAAAGCTCATGGCTGATCCAAGGAACTCTGTTGCCTTTTCTGTTCAGGAAGGGTAAGACCCAGGTTGGCTGTGGTCCTGACCCAACCCCAGCAGGACACACACACCTGGGCCCACCCAGCCCCTGCTCCAGACACAACAGGCTGCTCTGCAAACAGCTGCATTCCTGACACAACAGGGACAGCAGAAGTCACGATAACTTCCGTGAGGAGGAGTCAGCCTGATGACTGGATGCTGTGGGAGGCAATGCTGACCCTGGGACAACATAAGCAGGTGCTGTTGGGCTTGTCCCAGTAAAAATAAGAGTGGGAAACAAACCTCATATCGCTTCATCAGCAAACAGCCGCTCCTAGCATGGGTTGCTCTGCACGTCTCAAAGGATTGCTCTTAGATACTCGACGTTTCCACTGCGAGGCAGTGCAGCACCAAACATAACTACTCTAAACGTGTGCCTGCCTTCCCTGCCTCTCAGCTTTCCCCCAAGCCAACTCCTGGCTGTTCAGTGGACTGAACAGTATGATTGTACGATTGCCTTAGCACCCATGGACAGGAGGGCTGCTGCATTGCTCCCTTGAGAAGCAAAGCAGTTAGGGTCCTGTCTACTGGTGTTCATCCCCTGCCATAAGCTTTCCTGACACATGCTGTGCTGGGCTATCAGAGACCCCTTCCAGAGGATTTCACTGTCACCAGCCATCCCATCCAGAGCAGAAGCAGCGGAGGAGCTTTGTGGTCCCCCTGCATCCAGCACTCGTTTCTCACCTCTACCATCATTTAAAAAATATTTTTCTTTTTTAAAATCTTTTCCAATGAGAGCAGCTTAAAGACCTGCCTGGTGACCCCCTTTGAAGAACAGCTCACATCCCTGGGGTCTCCATGTCCTAGCCACTTTGCAGTACTACAACAAAGTTGAGATTCTTAAGGACAGAGAAGGAAAAGAAGAGAACAAAAGCCAGCTGTTGGCCACACAAACAGAGATCTCAGCCCCAAAGGGCAAACACAAACACCCTCTTACCTATGAAGCAGCTGTCACAGAGTACTGGAAATGCCTCCCTACCTGTCTGGGTACAGCGCTCCCCAAAAGTGTGCAGCATGATGCACTATGCTTCTGCTTTCCCACTGCAGACCCCCCTGCTGTAACCACTGGTTTACCAGGTCCCTGAATACTATGTTTCTGCAAACCCTCATCCTCCAATGCCAGCAATGTTCAGACTCCATCCTCTCCTGCCTGGGAACTGCTCTTTCCCCTCTTACAGAAGAGCCATGCTGTGGGGGAAGAGCAACAGATCCCATTTCCCTGCCTCCCCCCAGAGGGAGGTGCCAGGCTATGTGGGGACATCCCTGTGGGCCTACTCAGTGCCACACATGTGTGTGCAGGGAAGCTGGAGCTACATCTCCATCTGCCCTGTACCCACTGCCAAAGTTAAGTGTCACTGCAGAGCTCTTCACATCTTTGCTCACTGCCTTTTCACCAACCTGAGGACCAGAGCGCCGAGTGTCACTGCCACTTACCTGCCCCAGCTCTTGGCTTCCAACACGGAGAGGCAGCCCCTCTGTCCCTCCAGCAGGCAGTCTGCAGCCCAGCTGTGAGTGGCTTGCTGCCGCAGTGCGAAAGTCCTGTCCACCAGCTCAGTGCTGCTCACCTCCAGCCCCTTAATAAAGACGCCGGTGTTGCCGTATCTGGCCGGCTCGCTCAGCGTCCTCTGGCAGCCTGACCACAGGCTCTCACCACACGGAAGGTCAAAGCTTTGGGCCTTCCGGAGCATCCTCCTGGGAGGCAGCTTCCCAGAGGCTGGAGTGGATGTGCAGGATGGCTTCACCTCCAGGGTTTCCAATATGCTCTCCAGGTTTGACTTTTCTTCAGGCAGCTTTGGAGACTTGGAGGCCCCGCTGGCAAAAGAAACTCTGCTCAAGTGAGGACCAGGGCTGAGAGCAGTTTGGCAGGCAAATTCTTCCCCAGCACTAACATCACCAGGGCAGCTCAGGGAGGACGAGGGAGCTTTCTCCTTAGACCAACCCAGAGAGCAGTTGGGCCTGTTGTAGCAGTGGGACACGCTGTAAGTCCTGTCCCAGTGGGACCCGGAGGTGGCCCCCTCAGAGTGCCTCCGGTGGGACAGACTGCCAGCCTCACTGTCAGCCCGGGGCTGCTCCCTTGCAGCTGGTTTGTGGTCTGACAGCAGAGACTTCCTTGTTCTCAAGGCTGCTTCGAGTTTCTTTTCAAAAACCAGCTTGGTCTCCTGGCATTTGGACCATGCAAATTTCCACTGCTTGAGTCCCTTGTCACTCTTCAGCTCACAGGCCAGCTCCTTCATCTCCTGGAACCGGGCATCGCTGATGTCTGGGTGCTGCCCCTTGTAACTCTCCAGGCACTTGATCACACCTGCACAGTGTTCGGCAGAGCTGCAGTCCTCCATGCTGATGCAGGCAAGGTGTCGCATCCCTTCCAAGGCCCACTCGTATGCCTGCAGAGAGCGAGAACAAAAGGCAACAGCCAGTCAGAGGGACTCAGGGAAGAATAACCCGAATTCGGTGCCTGAAGACAAGAGAAAGGATCAGTGTGTGGCCACCACAGTTCCTCGAGTGTGAGAGGAGGGGGGCGCTGCTATTGTCAATAGGGCTTAACAATTGAGCTAAACAAACAGCTCCTTATGCAGAAGGCTTCAGCTGTGCCGGCTGCTCTGCCACAGCTCCACCTCCCTGCCAGGTCCCTGTGACGCTGGGCACACACGCTGCTGGGCACGTTCGTCCTCTGGGCAGGAGGGCCCAGGGGAAGCTGCTGCCAAGATTGCTGGAATTCACACCTCAGTGTAGCCCTCCTCCTTTGCCCAGCCATTCCCACCACTAACCACGCAGTATGAGGTCAAGGGGGCATCAGTAAGCTGCAGGGAATAGGACTGCTGCTCCCCATGCCATTTCTCCAGAGCTGATGGCACGCAGAGGCCTGGAACTCGATCAGAACTGGGCTCTGTGGATCATCCTGAGTGCTCTGACCCACCCTTGCAGCAAGTAGGAATCTGAGACCATGCAAGCCCAGCTGCAGCTTCTGCATTTTCTGTGCCTGCTGGCACCCATGTGGCATACTGTGCCCTGCCTACCTGCCTGGCCCTGCCTGCTACTGCACTACATGCTTGTGCTGGTTAGTCAAATACCAAGCTCAGCAGTTTATTTCTAATACTCCAGAAATGCTGGAAGCAGTTTCACAGGGCTTAACTCTAGCAGTGGTGCATACGCTGGCTTTGCTAAAACAGCTCTGCTGTATCAGTCGAACACAAGGAGTGGGACAAAATGTGGTCCAATATGACAGACGCAAGGTAACAGTGCCTTACCACCATGGCAGGAAAGGGGCTAATGAAGCACCATGCACTAAGATCTGTCTGTCACCAATAAAAATGAGAGAAAAGGCAAACATCTGAATTAGTCAGGCTCATAAGCCACTACTTTCTCTATAAAGCAGGGATGATGACAAGGTTTAACTATAGAGTGGATAAGGTGTGACCAGCTGCCACAGGCCTGGCCAGGGAACTTAACTGCTCACCAGTGAAAACACAGAGTTATTTGTTAAAATCGGATGCAGAAGGCAGAGAAAACACCCAGGGCAAGCCTGCCTGGCACCTTCCATCAACTGTCCAAGGCCAGTGGATCTGCAGAAATACCACAGGCTGCCCTTGAAGTGAGCCAGACCATCTCTACCACTTGACCTGTCAGGCCCTGCGTACCTGCTATGCTTCTGCAGAGAAGCAACATTCATACGTAGCGCCAGGAACAACGTGACCACCCTTAGACCATTTTCCACCTGCTGAACAGCCTTACTATGACAGACTGCACTCAGAGAGCTTAAAGCACTTACTTTTACGCAGAATAGAGCCTTCACACCAAGAAAATCCACCCAGGCTTTTTGCAGATGTGGAGCAGACACTGCATCCCCATCAGGGACCCGGTGGTCAAACAGATCAGGTGCCAGGCTCACTCTCTGTTGGTGACAGAGGTAGGCAGGGCAGGAAATGCTTCATTCACATGGTGCCCAGCTCCTGGATGGGGACAGCTATGAGCACCAAGCGCTGCTGTTTGTACAAGAGCTGAACGCCAGCACATGATGGGTAGCCTGCAGACTGAGCAGAGTCACTCCAGGGACAGATTCCACAGGAGCTCCCACAGCCGTCCACATTGCTCTTTTGAGCTGCAGCTGCACAGCGTGCATGCAGCCAGCCCCATTACTCATGCGGAGCAAGAAGCTGCTTCAGAAAAACCAGCAGCTGCTCGGTGAAAGTGCTTCTCAAACAGCCCCATGCAATCACAGCACAGGACAATCAAAAGAGCAGCAGTCCCCTCTCCTCCCATTACCCTGCCTAGCACAGCAACAGCCTCCTGACCTGCCTCTCTCTTGATCCAGGCTTTATGCTCTAGACTTGCCCACTGCTGGGGGCCAGGAGGGGCATGCAGAGGCAGAGGACGTGCCAGACCCTGGTGAGAATCTGCATTTATCTGTGATGTGGAGGGTCTTTTATTCCCTGGAGGCAGATGCATATCAAGGCGAGGTGAAATGCCGAGTTGTCGTGGTTTAACCCCAGCCAGCAACTAAGCACCACGCAGCCGCTCACTCACTCCCCCCCCATCCAGTGGGATGGGGGAGGAAATCAGGAAAAGTAGTAAAACTCCTGGGTTGAGATAAGAACAGTTTAATAGAACAGAAAAGAAGAAACTAATAATGATAACACGAATAAAATGACAACAGTAGTAATAAAAGGATTGAAATGTACAAATGATGCGCAGGGCAATTGCTCCCCACCCGCCGACCGACACCCAGCCAGTCCCCGAGCAGCGATTCCCTGCCCCCCACCTCCCAGTTCCTAAACTAGATGGGACGTCACATGGTATGGAATACACTGTTGGCCAGTTTGGGTCAGGTGCCCTGGCTGGGCATGAGAAGCTGAAAAATGCTTGACTATAGTCTAAACACTACTGAGCAACAACTGAAAACATCAGTGTTATCAACATTCTTCTCATACTGAACTCAAAACATAGCACTGTACCGGCTACTAGGAAGACAGTTAACTATATCCCAGCTGAAACCAGGACACGAGTGCAGCTGAGCCCACCAGATCCGCACGGCAGTGACAGGTGACCTATTTTGCTGTGGTTTTTTGAGCTGCTCCCTCCAGCTGTACACGAACCAACACCAACCCCTTTGAGCTCTGCCTGGAGCAAGGGCTGGCCATCAGTGTGGGCTAAGGGTACATCTCACTTCTGGCTGTGAAGGTCAATGGGTGATCCTGACCAAAGACTGCATGCTGGCTCCCTTTTGCTCACTGACAGGAAAAGCTGAGCTCAAAAGGGACATGGGGCTCTGAAAGAGGATGCCAAGAGCAATGTGCAGGAGAGGCACAGCCAGCAGGCCAGCCTAGCCTTTACAGCAGCCAGTCGGGAAGGTAGCTGCCCTGTGAAGGCCTTCGAGGCGGGGGGGGGGGGGGGGGGGGGGGGGGGGGGGGGGGGGGGGGGGAGGGGGG